GGGGGGGGTGGAAGGGAGAATGACCTTACTGGGGACTAGGCGGATTTCATTTGGTGGCCCGCGAGGGGGACCCGTAGGCAAATATTGTCTCCAGCTTACCCTGGAATAGTCCAGGCTGGTCATAGCCGGGTTGGAGTCGACATGAGCTCTCACCAGGGCACTGATCAGACTCACCGGGGGCGAAGGGGGAGAAGGCTCCTGGGGGCTCTTCGGTTTCGAGGGCAAACGACCCCTTCGGCCTTTTAAGCTGTCTGTGCGAACTACTGAAAAAAGACAAGATGCCTCCACTCAGAGAACACGCCTCAGGTCTCCCGGCCAGGCAGAGAAAAAGAAAACACAACTCCCCCACCCCACATACCCATCTAACGTCCTGTTTTTCTACTGGTGTCAAAACTTCGCGACTGAATATATCAGCCCGGAGAAAAAGTTTCCAGGGAGAAATTGGGGCTGTAGTATTTTCCGGACTTCCTTTGGCTCTTACGGAGCTCAGTTTCTAAACACGAGGCTGACTTTTTAGACACGAGTTTAGAAAAACACGTCCGATAGAACAAAACCCTTCTGACGTTCCTTCACATAAATCCAATCTGCCCTGGCCTTGGCATCCCTTTAAAGTTAAACCTAAGACGGAGTGCAAGCGCCTTGTCCCAGGTAAGGTTATCTTAGGTCTAGTCCGGGTTTGCACAGGCCTTCGCTTCCTGCCACTACCCCGAGGGTTTATGCTCTGGAGATGGGCCCGAAGGACCTGGGTGGAAGGGAGCCCTAGGCCCCCCCAACGGTCAGAAGAAGCCGCCCGCGGAAGCTCAGCTGAAGCTTCGCCGCGCCTCCTCTCGCCGCTACTGGGAACGCTGCTGCTCCGCCTGTGCTTGTGACCCCCCCAGGCGCCCGCCCCACGGCAAGCTCTACCTTCTTTGACCATGCCGACTCCAAGGCACTTCTGAAAACGACAGTATTGGCACCGATTCCGGCGGCGTTTGTCCACGGGGCAGTTCTTATTCGCTAAGCAAACGTATTTGGCGTTTTTCTGGACGGTGCGCTGCAGAGACAGGGGAGAGACGAAGGGGGGAAGGAGAGGTGAGGTGAGCGGAACAGAGCGAAGCGGAGCCCCGGAAGGCGGTCCGAGTTTGAGGCACTTCGCGGGCCTCAAAGAAGGGAGCAGATCCCTTCTTCCTCCTCCTCTCTCGCTCCAGCGGCCTCTCTTTTTCCAGGTCCTCTAACCCAAAATTGGGGAGCGGGCTCGCCGAGCACGGTCTGGGGAGCCTGCTATAACCTACACAATACACAAATCTGAGGCATTCCTATGAGGTTTTTTTTTATTTCCTTTTCTTTTCGAGGGTGCGGTTATTCGGTTAGGAAGTGTGTGTGTGTGTGTGTGTGTGTGTGTGTGTGTGTGTGTGTGTGTGTGTGTG